GAGAAGTTCTTGAAGCACTCGATGCGCGTTGGGATGAGATTTGCAGAACTTAACCAAGGTGCAGCAACACCAGATTAAAAGTACCTCTAAGATGTGTTGTTTTTAAGAGCAAACTATAATCAGTATGCACTATGAGATTTTTTTTTTGTGCTACATTATACATTGGCCGAGGAGCATTCTTAAATTTTGATGCAACTGAGACATTCAATAATAGGGTTAAGTCATTTGCTTTTTGTTAATTAACGTCATTTGCTTCAGCTCTTAGTGTAAGGCGAGGAATGTTATTGGCCTGCTATTGCATAGTTTTATTTATAGCTGAGCTAACATGTTGTTTGTCATCAATTTTTTTTTTAATGAAAAGTGAAATCAACACAATTGTCTAAATGACTACACCTGAAATTTGTGGGTAGACCTGATTTGTGATTTCTAAATTGCGATATTTGCATCCTAAAAAGGCATAAAAAGTGGAAAAGGTTTGGGGTTGTTTTGTTTATAAAACGCACTCAATGCCAGGTACGTATGCTACGAAGACCAAAGGCTACGAAGTTTCACGAATTATTTTTAACGGGTTTTCCATGCACCAGTAAGTTTGTATAAATGCAATGTTGTTGGCCATGGTTTATATGAAAATTGGTTCGGCATTCAATTTAGTAGATTGGTAGTATGGAAGCTATGACAAAAATAGATGAAGCTACTGCTTACTGCGAGGGATGCATAACTTGGCTAAACAATTTGATGTTCTAAGCAAATTATTTAGCTTTAGTTACTTCAAACATTAACTAATGCAAATCATATGGAAGACATAATAGGCTACACCACAATTAATGAGACACATCACCTACAACAAAAACAAGCAAGTTAAAACAAATAAATCAAAACTACACACATCAATATCAGAAGATGTTGGATAATAGTGCTAATCATTCACTACCAAGTGAAGGTGGCAAGTCACCGGTGATAAGTGATATAATACTACATTGCACACAGTGTACATAATATTTTTCTTCATTGATGTCACATTGGTAGAATTGCCTTATAAATAGTGCTTTTTTATCAAGCGATTATCCTGTAATTCTTGCTAAATAAATGGTTGGCCCTTTTGTGTCAATTGGGCTGCTTCATTTGGTTCCAGTTGCTTCTTCTTCTCCGTGAATATATGTGTTTTCTTCAAATTTTATCCTTCTATTGTCCTTTTTGCCCTCTCCTGCTGGTTTTACTGTAATTTTAGGGTATTATGTGCTTTAACAATTATCCAAATGCCATGTTATAATGCAATTATAATCAACTTTCTACCCTCCTTTTGTCATTCCACTCTTTCCATTTTTAGTGGTTTGGAACTCCTTGGTGTAGCCACCCAGCCATAAGTTTTCTACTCTGAATTTTTTTCAACTTCTCTCCTCTCTTTTCTCATCTTGTTTGTCATCCGGGTTACTCCTTTTGTTTATCTCAACAGGATACATAAAGTTATTTTTGAATCAAACTCCCATCTCCCCCACTTTTTTGGAATCTTAGAATTGTATAAGAAGATAGAAAGGGAAAGTTAACTGTTACAGTGAAAATTCTTATATTTTGTTTGTATAAAACTCACCAATTCTCCAAAAAAAAAAAAAAAAAAAAAAAAACTAGCTATGTAGGATTTGCATTCAACATTTTTTAATTGACTTTATTGAGTGTCATGAGGATTAGGTTCTCTTTAATGCTTGAACTCAGTATGTAGGGATGGCACTGGGGCGGGGGTGCGGCGGGGTTCCTTCCCCCATCCCCCGCCCCATTGTCAAATAACTCCCCCCGCCCCCAGCCCCTAGCCCCCCATCTCCCGCCGCGCCCCCGCCCCGTTTTCCCTGCGGTCCCCCACGAGAAAAGAAATCAACTTATCATAAAATGTTCATTTACAATAATTCACTGAATTTTTTATTAGGTTGCACTTGATTGCTCCTCTTTGTATATCTGACTTTTCAGTTACCAGCCCATCTCCTGATCGAAATATATCATTTGGAGTCATTTTAGCATGATACATATATCTATGACTATCTTTTTTTTTATAATACTAAAATCTTAAACCATTTAATTGCCGTAAAACGAGTATTAGTACACAAGATGCCAGAGATTCATATCCAAAACCACAGCATAGCTTTACAACAACATAGAGCTTTTCCCATTAAGTAATAGCATTCACAGGTCTCTTGAACTAATTAGCTAAAGATAACCCCCACCATAATAAATTATATCCATGGCTATCTAAAAGGATTGAACAACTCAGAAATTTATGTACACAAAAGCCTAGCACATGAAGCAAAAAAAAATCAGAAGCAAGCCTATACGAAAAGCAAAACTCTCCTACTATCTCCAAGCATTTTTTAGAACTAACAGGAGAGAGAAAGAATTTCCAAACACTAATCAAAAATACCTTGAACAGTTTGGGGTTTTGTTACTTTTGTGTGTGTGTGTGTATATATATATATATATATATATATATATATATATATATATTTTTTTTTCATGCGGGGGACGGGGCGGGGGATGGGGTGGATGTATGTTGTCCCATCCCCCGCCCCTTTTTAAGTCAGGGGTAAATATTTTGCCCTCGCCCATCCCCCGCCCCATTTGTACCCCCGCGGGACAGGTGCCTGCGGGTGCCCGCCCCCATTGCCATCCTTATCAGTATGTTTAGAAGAACTTATCTTTAAGGGTTAATTCCACTTTGTCCTCTCAAACTATATCCGAAATCTCACTTCGGTCCCTAAACTTCAAAATGGGACATTTAAATCCTTAAACTACAAAACTTGTCCCACTTTAGTCCAAATTTTGACGGAATGCACAAAACCTAACAGAATGGTTGCCAATTCCATTATGTTATTATTATAATTAAAGTTAGCCAAATCTAATAGGAACATAAATGCAATTTTAATGAGACCCAAAACAAGAAAAAACAAAAAGATAGGGACATAAAGATAATTTTACCCCCTTTTCTCCTTCTTCTTCATTCTTCTTTTTTTCCTCTTCTTCTTTTTCCTGTTCTTCTCATTCTCTTTTCCTCTATTTCTTCCTTATTGTTTTAATCTTTAATTTTTAATGGAGAAATCCTGAAACTAATAAGAACCCAAATGCAAAATAAATCTTCAAAGCCACAAAGCTTAATGTCAATTGACCATCTATATATCGGAATTTATAATAAATAGATCCGACCCAAATTCTTAGATGTAGGAAAACTAACACTGCCAGGAAGAAATTTGAGACTCTTTCACAACATCCCCACAACTAGGAGAGGTAATTTGGACTGATCTCTTTGGAATTCTTAATGCATAAAAGCAGCATTACGAGTGTTGTGAACATCAACCTCAATTTGAGCTGTAGCTTTAGCTTTCACCACATCCGTTGACACAGATCAGGGCATAGTTTCTGCATAAACTCCACAAGGCCTCTTTGAACCAAGCTTTATTCAAATTGGTCAACTAGCATAGCCTCCACAACAATAATATCCGCAATTGAATTTGGGTGTATAAATGCAAATTGATCATCTACCTCAGCCTCCACATCAACCACGATTTGAGCTTCAGCTTTCTCCACATTTATTGATGGTGAGTTTGCAAGGGATGGCGGATGGCGTCGGAGGTCAAGTAGTCTTAGAAGCTGACGGTGTCCTCGGAGGCTTGATGTTTGGGATAGTCAATATCCAAGACTCCACGAACTTGGCATCAACGAGAGTCTCAGTCGGAACATCAATGAAGAATGGGTGGCACCAACTCATCACAGAGGAGGTGACTCTTGAAAGCAATTGGGGTTTCGAGATAGATTTTTCACTTTCCAACAACAAAAATTGAATATTTGCATCATGTAAAAAATATCGACTAAAGATGAGGTAGTAAAGAGGGAAGGAATCTAGTTGGGCATAGCCATAGTTAGGAGTCAAGATGGGAGTATCTTATAGCTTTTACGGAATGGAAATTGTAGAGAGGAAAATGCAGACGGGATCCTCTATCTAATTTTCTGTGTCCAATTTCTTGTCCAACACAAAATTACATAGTTCTACTTATTCTTGTGGCTGACATGACACATAAAAATAAATGCCTGTTTGGCTCAAGCACCAAGCAACAGCCCTGTCAAATTGTAACCATTCACCGTGAATTCCTCCAAAGCAAACCACTAGCCTAACGGAAAGACATAGCAAAATTTGAGACATACAGAGAGACAATCAAATCCTTGGAAGTACAAGGCAAAATTTGCAGCTGGGCCTAACGCAAAGAATAATCTAAAAAATTAGTGAAGGAAAACAAATTGTCCTTCTCGCTTTCTTTGAAGGAAAACAAATTGTGCTTTAACATTCTCAGATAGAAAAAGTGTTTCTTGTACCTTTTGCAATCTATTTTTTTATTCTGGTAAATTGATTCCTCTTTTTGTTTTTTAAGTAGAATTATGTCTTCATTGATACAGTGTTCATTTAATTTATAATCCATCTCTTGGGGAAATATGGTTAAAAACTGACATATTTCATTGGCTTGGTTGACAAAGTTGCTAATTGAATGAAAAACCATGTGATGGATAAAAATTGAAAACCTTTAAATATCATGGAGACCTCTGCTATTTTAAGATGTAATAGCTGTTTTCTTTTCTTACCACCACCCCTTTCCCAGAAAAAAAACACACCACCGCACCCACATACACACATTTTATAAGGCATACGGATTGCGGTGGTAAACAAATATATGTGCTGCAATTTGGTTCACGATGATTGTTGTTTCAGATGTCAATGCCTAGAAGATTATATGCTTAGCCAGTTTTTTTATTTTTTTATTTTTGGTTTTATGGAATTATATATTTCCTTTTCACATACAGTGATTTTTGTGATCACTGCTAAACCGGGGGATCTGCTATGCTTTTGCGTTTTGCACCACTCGTATAGAATAAAGTAAATTCTTGTAACCTTTTCCCATAACTATCAAAAATAGATAACTAGAATAATGGTTCTTGAAGTTCCAACTTGAAATGAAAAAGTTATCTCTTTAAAGATCCTGAACATTGTTGCCACCTTGACATGGAATTTGACACCAACATAAGATGCCACCTTGACATGGAATTTGACAGCCACTGTAGTTATTGCATCTAACACCAGCAACGGTTGTTTCAGTAACACGGCCATCACTTACACTTGCAAAGCTAATCACATTGTTATGTTCCCCTAAGTTGTTCTTTACTAAACTTTCAACGCCACGTGCTTGTTGTTCCTATAACCAAAATGAATAATGATAAATACAATATTGCATTAGATAAATGTTAGTAAATATGGCCATAAACTATGAAAAATTCTTTGGCTAAGAAGCCAAAATACCTCCAGTAACCTAGTCACACTAATTGAATGTTGTGCATCCTTTTTTAAATTTTCAACATTCATTGATTGACTTGAATCAGCCTACCAATAAAAATTAGGAAAAAAAATAAATTTACAACAACATCAATATAATCAATGCATAATATATAGATAATAGATTGGAAACTTTAGGTAAAGAATTATACCTGTGTTGATGATAATGGTGGTCCTGAGGTTGTAACTTTTGCTCCACCTCGACTTTTATTTGTTGATTTTCTCTTATTTGAAACCTTTTCTAAACTACTTCTCAACCTTTTACCAGAAGTAGTTTTTGCCTTAGCTTTGATCCCTTTGATTTTATTACCACTTTCTTCCCCAACTGCTTTCCCGGATTGGCTCATGCGATTAGTAGTTTCATTTGATTTTTGAGAGGCTACTTCATCCTGTAATTTTGCATCCACCTCTTCAAGCATCTTAAGAAGACTATCTTTTGCAATTTTGTATGTTTCCTCTGTTTCCGCTGCTCGTGTAGCTAATTGAACATATATCCTGCACAATTCTCTATGCCGCATGCTTGAGACCAATTTAGGATCTAAATTGTTGGTGTCAACAGTAGAATCTTCATCTCCAAAAAATCCAGTTTTTGCTTTGCGCGTCCATCTCTTTAATATGTATTCACTTGGAATCTTGACAATATTTCTCATCATAAAAACTTTCAAAATACGAGAACAAAAAATTCCAGTAAATTGAAATTTTCTACAACTGCAATCAAACTTGTCATTTAACAAGTCATGAAAAACAGTATGATAGTAACTTTTTTTAAAAAGGGTAATCTCATACTTTCTCACAGATTCAACTTCACCACAATCATGAAATTTAGCATCTAAAGACTTGCACCATTCAGTTTGAAAGCACTTGAAAGCTTCAGGCGTGTAGATATTTGCTGCATGTTTCAAGAGCTCACAAGGATACTGTAATACTAAAAAGCTTATATTTGCCCTAAAATCAGCTTTTAACTCTTCATAACGGCGATCTTCAAGTAGCCTCTGAAAATGATTAAAAAACTCAAGAAAATTGTGTTTATAATTCACATACCTTTTGAGGACACTGTTCATACTCTCACTTCTTTGAGTTGTAGTCATGTTCTGCACAAAAATATTGGCGCGCATATACTAATGCCCACTTCTCCTTTATTCCGAATAATTGTTTCAACCAATCATTATTTTGAAGATCATATTTTTCTAACATTCTGTTCCATTCTGCAACAAAATCTTCTTCTTCCTCGAAATCATATATGCATGTACTAAAATCATGAGCAAAACTTTTGACTTCAGTAAAAACACTACTCAAATGAATGGCAGCATTCTGATAGATGTGCCAAATACAAAGGCGATGATGTGTGTCAGGCCATTTAGAAGCTAATGCCTTAGCCATTGCTGCATCTTGGTCTGTGAGAATTGTCATAGGCTTTTTCCCAGACATAGCTCTAGTAAAAGTATCAAATAACCACTCAAAAGTCATTGAAGTTTCGTCATATAACAAAGCAGCACCAAAAATAGTAGTTTGCTTATGATGGTTTACACCCACAAATAATGCAATTGGTCGGCCTTCTTTATTTTTCCTGTAAGTTGTGTCAAAGCAGATAACATCTCCAAAATTTGCATAATTTGCTTTCATCTTTCCATCAGACCAGAATATGTTAGTTATCAGATCATCTTCATCAACTTGTATCGTATAAAAAAAGTTAGGGTCCTCAAATTGCATTTTTTGTAAATATTCAAGAACCCCTCCTGTATCCCCTATCTTCACATCTCTTGTTCTCTTAGAACGCAAATAATTTTTATAATCTTCAGGAATAAAACCTACATTCTCTCATCCACCAGCTTGCCTAGCCATAAGCTCATGAGCTACTTTTGGTGCTATTCCAACATTATGTGCCATTTCAATGTCAACAGCTAAGTTAGAAGTAATACTCCTGTGGCTTCTATATAGATGAGTTTTATTTGGACTTGAAAGGTAATGATTATGCTCTACCACAAATTCAATCACACGGAACTTGCCAGTTTGGCGACTATTAACTTTCATTCGTGCCAAACAACCACACCTTGTTTTTGGGCGAGGGGCTTTCACGCTACCATCTTGTTTATCTTTTCCCCGTTTTCCTTCAGCGCTGCAACAAAATGTCCTAGCAATCAATTTGCCATACTTGTCATTGTGGCTTTTACTTTTTCTAACACCAAATCCAACTAGTTTGGCATATGCCAAATAGTATTGCCAAGCCTGATCTTCAGTTTCAAACTCCATGCCTATGTGTGGAATAGTTTCATTAGGGATAGATGAGTGGATTTTATTCAAGTCCTTAACAGAGTTGAGCCCACTCGTCTCCTCAATATCATGTATGTTGCCTTCATTAACAATGTCAAAGTCCTCCTCTTGCTCTTTGAATTCTTCAAAGTGTAATTGACGGCAAGGTGAAGGTTTGCTTCCCATATAACTTGAGTTTAGAGCCTAATATATATAACAATTTATTTTTTTGTTAATATTTAAAACTGCAAGAACAATTTACATATCATCAAAATTTAATAGGCTAACACTAATAAATAATTGATCTTATTTTATATTAAATAAGATATTATCCACCATGTTTTGTTCATGGTCCAATTCAAGTAATTAAATGATCTTTAAGAACCATATTGAACCATTGAAGCATTAGATGCGCTAAAATTTCCAAACTATGTATCTAATGTCAAAAAAATGTTTAATGAATTTTCTCCAGTCCTATATTTGATAAATTATAGTGGCTACTATCTCATGCTTGAAAATCCATATTCAGAACCAAAAGAGATAAATTAAGTATTCACTAATATGGAATATATGATTAAATATGAGACATACAAAGAGACAATCAAATCCTTGGAAGTACAAAGCAAAATTTGCAGCTGGGCCTAACGGAAAGAATAATCTAAAAAATTGGTGAAACGAATGCATTAAAGACATTTCAAATCTAAAGTTACACTGTAGTAACTTCATATAAATTGTAGACAAAAGACGGCATAAAGACAACAGACCTACTATACCTTCATGGGTCCCTACTACATAGACGAAAGACGGTATAAAAAACTTATAAATTGATGCCAAGCAAAGGAACATCGACAACCGATACATTGTAAGTCAGCCAGAAACAATTGTGCAGATGAATATTATTTTTTTCTTACCATCGGCAAAGAAGTCCCAAATCTTCTTGACGCTCACGGCAACAGGTCTTGGGAATTGTTATGGTAGTAATAGGGTTTTGGGAATTGTAATAAAGATATGTAAATAAAGGAAATCCAAAAAAGAAGAGAGATCCAAAAGTGTAATGGAGCCAAACAGGCATTTATTTTTATGTGCCACGTCAGCCACAAGAATAAGTGGAACTACGTAGTTTTGTGTTGGACAAGAAATTGAACACAGAAAATTGGACAGAGGATCCCGTCTGATAAAGCAGATAGTCACATTTTCCTCAGACGGGATCCTCTATCCAATTTTTTGTGTCCAATTTTCTGTCCAACACAAAACTACGTAGTTCCACTTATTCTTGTGGCTGACGTGGCACATAAAAATAAATGCCTGTTTGGCTCCATTATACTTTTGGATCTCTCTTCTTTTTGGATTTCCTTTATTTACATATCTTTATTACAATTCACAAAACCCTATTACTACCAAACAGGCATTTATTTTTATGTGCCACGTCAACCACAAGAATAAGTGGAACTACGTAGTTTTGTGTTGGACAAGAAATTGGACACAGAAAATTGGACAGAGGATCCCGTCTGCTACTTTATGGCCCTGAAGAAAAATCTGAAGAATTTGATGTTGTGCTCCTAAGGAAGAACATGGGCTTTTGATTTCTGATGATGTGCTTCTGGGGAGAAGGAAAACGAAGGAGGAAGAAGACGCAAGATAAATAGAAGGAAAAAGGAGAAGAAAAGAAAATTTTGTTTAATTACAAATTTCTAAGATTTTTTTTTGTCTTAGGTCTCGTGAAATTATATTTATATCTTGTTAGATTTGGTTAACTTTAGTTATAATAATAACTAATGGAATTGACAACCATTCTGCTAGGTTTTGTGCATTCCGTAAAAATTTGGACTACGGTGGGACGAATTTTGTAGTTTAGAGACTGAAGTGGGATTTTGGATATAGTTTGAGGGGACAAAGTAGAATTAACCTTATGTTTAATTATAAATAATTTTTTTTCCAATTGTATTTGTTCAAGATACATATAAATTTTTAATCCCTTTTTTTGTTCAATTTTGTCCTATTTACTGTGCTCCCCTGTCTTCATGTTTTCTTATTCTTTGTCACTCTTGCACATCTTATCCCTCCAATCTTCATTTCAATCGGTCATCTAGAGTAATACTGCCACATTTTCTATTTTAAATTTCTAGAATATTTGTATATAAATAAAATCAAGTTTACTTTTCCTATTATGCATATGAGTAGCCGAGTAGGGCTAGTCACTTTCTTAATTTTCAGCTAATTAATAATGCCTTTTTTTTTCAATTTAGAGTAATTTAATTTCACTTCTTTTATAATGGGATTTTTTTTAGGTTGTCATTTGAATGTGAAAATAAATTGTCAGAGATTCGGGTCAGAAAGTTGATTGCTTTGATTAGATTGACACGTCGTTTAATTTGGGTTTGTTTGGTTACGTGCTTAATTAGCGGTGATTAATTTTTAGTAATGTCAAGTTTTATGGTTTAAGTGCTTAATTGACTTGCGGAGTCCCTGTTTTTTGTGTCAACAATGATTAATACTCTTTTGGGAATCATTCACTTTATAATTTTCTAATTATCCTGATCCAAATGCAAAATAACTTCGCCCTTATGCATTCTATATAAGCACCCTCATGCATTCTATATATATTATTGTCCTCATGCATTCGATATATTTCATAATTGTTAACCTTTAACAAAAACAATAATTTCCTAATGATCCACATGAATTAGATAATAACAAAGATGTATACTAATAAACCCGCACAATAAAACACAGTTAACATGGAAAATATTAGTCACCTGCACATCGCGCAGGCCATCTCACTAGTGACATTTATATGCCAATGATAGTTTTTATGTGGGATGTTACACTCATCTAATTTACAATCAAAACTTAATTTTAGGATAATTTACCCATTTTATCTAATGGTCTGAATAAAAAGCTTACCTCTAATAGGATCTATATCTATATCTATACTATATATTGTTCACTAGTTGATATGTTTTAGAAGATTTCCAATAATATGACATGTGTCATTTCCCAAGATTTTTGGACTATTTATTCTTGAATAACTTCAATTAATGTTATCTAAAGCTTATCTATTCAAATGTTTAAATTCGATATGAAAAAGTTTGGTTAAACTAACTTATCAAAAAACATATTTATGTGTTACTTTAGTTCAAATGTTTAAATCAATAAAAAAAAAAACCGTCTAAGTAAAATTCTTTACTTTAACAATTCCTATAGGTAGTGAAAACCGTACTTAAACTAACTTATCAATATAGGTATTAAAACTGTAGTTAAAGTAACTTATCCGTGAACATCCTTAATCCACCATTTATTAGTTGAGATATTCTAGAAGTTTTCTAATAGTGACAATTTGGTACACGTCTTATAATCTTTTCGAATGTTTCAAAAATTTTAAAGTTATCACTTAACATTTTCCAATACCAAACCATATCTACCAACTAGATAAGAGAACAACTCAAGTTCTCCATTGATGCCAATTGTCAATGTCTCATTTGAGGAAACAAATTTCATTTCTTTATTTTGGACATTAAAGAGAGAGAAATGTCTATTTGAGACTTGGTATCCAAATTCAAAGACTTAATAGTTCCTTACTATTTAGGGGCTAATTGGTAACAATGGTTTAATTATTTTCATTTGTTCCTTTTGTTTGGTTTTTAATTGGTCAGAAAGGTCAATTGAATCCGTTTATGAAAACTAGCTCTTTAAATAGTTGCTAACTATTTAGGCTATTTTTGTACATTTCAAATTATTTCTTTTATAATTTCCTGGTCAAATGCAAATAATTGTGGACTATTTATGGGCTCCTTTTATCACATGAGTTGTTTTTGAATTATTGATTGGAATTAAAATATTGCTGTGTCATGCCCATTACAACTGGTTGCTCTGTCATGTAAGTTAGTGAATACCACCTAATGGTCTTATTAGTCAGTGAAGTGAAGTTCCTTTCCCCTTCTTTCCGTTGGATAGGTAGATAGAACTTCCTTCCCCTTTCTAATTGTCCTTCCTGCAAAATTTTCACTTTTCTACCAATTCCTCCAACAACTAATTGTCCTTTCTTTTGATTGCAGCCCAGAAAATCCTCGACATGCACATGAAGTTTTCTTTTGCCCGAAAATTCAGCTCAGTTAAATTTCTCTTCCCCCAATATCTATTAGCCTGCAAAATCTTCAATTTTCTACCAATCCTCCAACAATTAATTGTACCTTCTTTCAATTGCCACCGAAAAAATCCTCCGCATGCATCTAAAGTTTTCTTTTGTCCCGGAAATCGGCTCACTGAAATTTCTTTTCCTCCAAAATCTGTTCACTTTAGGGATTTAGGGATGACTACTGTACCGAGTTATCATCTATGGTACAGCTTCCAAAACCTACTATTGCCAGCATTATATATACTTATGTTTCTGAGTTTTGCCAGCATTCAGCCGAGCAAAGAAAACATAGGTACGCTTCTATATTCTCTCATCCTATTTTGAACTGCAATTTTTTTTTAATGTTCCTGCCTTCTGTTTATATTGTCTTCCATTAATTAAAGACTGCTATGTGTTTGATGTTATGCATAAAAGAATACAATTATGATGATAATTTTTCGGATTAACTTATCTTTGCTTTTTCTTCTGTTTTTTAATTTGAAGGGTTGCCCGACTTTTGCTACCACTCAGAGGAGCAAAGCAAATATAGGTATGTTTCTATTTTCTCTCATTCTGTTTTAAATTGCAATTTTTTTGTTCCAACGTTGTTGCTTTTTGTTTATTGCCTTCGATTAATTAAGGACTGCCATGTTGTTCCAATGTTGTTGCTTTTTCCTGTGTTTTTAATTTCAAATGTTGCATGATGATGTCAGCTGTTTATTTATTCAATAATTATTATTACATAATTTAGTATGATTGTAGTATGGGTTATTAAGGTGGTCATTTTATATGTATTAGTCAGTTTTAGCTATTCTAGGATGCTTTCATGTTGTCAATGTTGTGTGGCTTTCGCTTACTATCTTTCTTTCTTTATAGTAAAATTAGCTTCTGATCTTTTGTGTTCCAAAATGAAGAAAAAACGAAAAGTTAGTACAGGTTTTAGATTGATAGATGAGATGTTTGATGATGCTTTTGATCTAAGAGTGTTAGGAAATAACAAAAAACCAAACTTAAATATGCTCACAGAGCATATGAAGGTTACTGTCAATTCTTCTGTTTCTCAAGCATATTC